TTGTGGCCATTAGAGTACAACCTTTAATTCAGGAATGATGATGAGCATTCCTTGAGATGTTCCTATAAACTCGAGTTCTAATGGATGTAGTTTTAGTTAGTTCTTGGTGAAACTTCATTTGCTGATCTGGGACCTTCCCCATCCCCATGTAACTCTCTGTCCCTCTCATGCAAAGAGAAGAATTTTTGTGTTGGTGATGTTAGCAGTTGTAATTGTTCTCCTAAACAATGAACATATAAACACTAAGAGCTTTGTCTTCAACAGTTTTAAAAGAGATTACAGAACTCAAAATCGCTAAATCATTAGGTGGCTTTTGATTATCACTTGATCAACTTGTAGCTGCTCAAACAACTTCAGAGAAGGAAAAAGAACACCTTACAGTTTACAAGCTCTCTGAATACTTTTATTGCATTAGGTTTGACAGTTTGTAGCTAACAAAACTAATTTATTTGAATTTGTGTGCTTTTTTAATTTGAGTTCTGCAGATGATGCACTATTGATTAAACCTGCTGAATAAATGGGCACCTCTCTGAATTTAGTGGTATTTTTTGGTACTCCTACCAATCTGAATGTTTAGATAAAAGCTTTAGTTCATTTTGTTATTTTAATCTAAACATTGATAGAACTCAAAACTAGATGTCACACCTTCTTCCTTTAACTTAGGTATTGTTCTTTTACAAGTGCTTAATAGTAGAATTATTCAGGTATTTATATTATTGATAGTAGAATTATTTCCTGCAGATGCCTTCTAACAATCTACAAAAACTCAAAAACTAGCAACTACAAGCCTCTTCCTCAACCCCCCCCCTCCCACATACACCAAGAACACATAGTACAAGAGCAATGTAAATATGCAATAAATTAAGTGAAATAAAGAGAGGGGAATACCAAGATCTATTTTAAAGTCAGACTGAGAAGGTACTTTATCAGGGGATTGAACATTTGCAGTTTTGAGTTTAGACTGTAAACAACCCAATTTTTCATCAGCTCACATAGATAAATATGACGCTCACAATATATGTAAACTCAGATCCACCAATGAATCAAAATGGGGTGCTGAAAAGTCAATGAAATACTATAACTTTAGTTGAACTAAGTAGTAGATAATAGATGGAAAAATAGATAGGTAACTTGGGAGGAGCTGTGTTCCTTTTTTTGCTTCTAAATTATCAACATGATCTACAAGTGCTTTGGTTAGAAACTGATTCGCAAATTTATCTCTTAATTATTTAATGTCTAGATTTATTTTTGTGTTGTTAAAGTTTATTAGACATAATAGTTTATCGTCTTTGTTAATAATACTTCTAATTACTGCCATCTTACACAAGTACGCATCAACAGGTGCTACTAGAAAGCTATACATTTTTGGGGTAACATATGAATTGGAAATAGAAGGATTAGAAAAAGTAACATTTTTGTAGTAGCTCTATAGTCTTCTATTTATTTGTTGAGCAACATTTTTGTAGCAGATCTGTATCTTCTATTTCTATTCTAGCCACAAACTTATTCCTTACTGATAACAACATAGCTTTGTTGATGTTGGGATATATATATA